CAGGGTTATTTTGCTTCTAAATATAATAATTCAATCTATTTTATTATCTGAATCTATAATTTATAATTTTCTTCATAAACTATCATTATTATTGCGCATATTAAAGGAGATTTTATCACAAATGATTTATAATAATATAAATGATTAAAGGAATATTTTAGAAACGCCAAAACACATTTTCAAAACAATTATAAATTGCTGCTAATTAATTATATAGTTGTTACATTTAGGATAGAAAGGAATACCTTTTTTTTTGGAACCGAAAGTTGGAGTTTGTGGGTATGATGAAGCCTCTTGAATTTGCTTTTAATGATGACACTAACCATACAATTGTCTGCCCAAAGATAGACATTTGGAAACATCATAAAACTTATATAGACAAAACGTGTCCTTATGAATTCATGTGTACAAGGAAAACACAATTCTCAATGATCTAAAAGATGTGGCAATCACATTCAATGGCTCAAACTTAACAAAATTTGCCACAGATATTCTTATCAAATTTGAATTCTTCTTGTTGAAAGAATTTAGGGTTCATACAGGAAGAGTTAATTTCAATTCAACCAGATAATATTTAAATTTGGCCTGATACTACTATATATTTGTGTAAATAACTATTGTGATTATTGAATAAAAATATTTTTATAGGAACATACTTAAAATTTAGCGGTAAATGGTACTCCATTTCTTGCTTTTCATAGAGATAATTAATCAAATTAAATTATTCAAAACGTTAGATAAAATTAATTGGAAACTATAAATTGTTAAAAAAAAAAGTACTTTTGATTAAGTTGTTCAAAATGTTAGATAAAATTAATTGGAAACTATAAATTGTAAAAAAAAAAAAGGTAATTTTTTGTCAAAAATAACCTTATTTATTTGGAAGAGAGGAATGTGTGGTTGAGAGAGAATGTGTCGGAATTAAATACAATAATATAAGTAATATGAGTAATTAAATAGGGATAAAATAAGACATTAACAAACTAAATTTGAGATAACTTTTAAATTTCTCTTATAAAAAGAAGCACATTATACTCTATAATTATTTCTTGTAAAAAAGGACAGAGGGAGTAATAATGATAAAAGTGATCTTATAATATAATTTTAAAAAGTATTAGTAACCATTTTTTTTGTAAAAAAATTGAGAAATAATTTAGTGAAAAATTTAACACTTAATTATATATAGATCTAACATTTAAAATGGCGAGTGGCAATTTTATAATGCTCACATAAGAAACAAAGTTATAAGAAGCTTAAAACTTGGAAACAGTTACTTTGCAAATGCTGGTGAGAACTGGAAAGCAAAATTGTAAGAACATTCAAATATAAGTCTCGATAAAATTTATGTTATAACTTTCTGATGTGGAGTATAGAAAAATAAGATTATAATAAATCTAAAACTAGGTATTAATAATCACACATTTTTAATCCTTCTAAAAAATACTTTCTTATAATTATTTCAAATTAATTTTTTGTCCATACAAAACAAAATCCAAACCATTTGATCCTTAAAAATAATAAAATAATTTTTAAAATTTGATAAATTTCGATATGGTAAAGTACGCCGAGCAAACCTTCCCTTGAAAAGGATTGCATCTTTATGTATTACTCCCTTCAGTCCTATTCATTATATATGTATAATATATAAATAACTAAATTAAGGAAATAAAATTTTTTTAGATTAGTTAAAGACAATAAATATAAAAAACTGTAACTTATTTTTTAAAAATATCATTATTTATGGAGCGAGTGTGAGTGATGGATAATTAACAGAGCCTAAAACAGAAAATGATACTAAATATTTCAATTGGGTTATTAATGCCTCTAAGTAAATAGGAACATGTCAGTCTTATAAGAAAATTCTTATACAAAAAAGTGGAGGGACCAATGCATTAGCTATAGTACACGTGTATCTAGTGATAAATAAGCATCTTTTCTACGAATTTTTTTTTTAAAGGTAGATTTAATTTTTGATCAAAAAAGGTAGAGTAGCTTTTACGGGGGCCAACCCAAAAGAAAAAAGTAAGCTAACTCATAACTTTAGATTTTAAAAAAATTAATTAAATAATTAAAACATCGACTCAAGGTGGGAGACCCAACAAGATCTACAATTACAAACACTTTAGATTATAGAATGTCTTTGTCTTTTGCACCCAAAGGATCCTCCTGTTAATTATTATGTTAAAGGTTGCTAATTCACGGCCGAATTTTGTAGTCTTTGAAATATGATTAAATTGCTGAAAATAGAATATTTCTTAAACCATGATGATAGGAATATACTTCTCCCTTGCACATAAATTTTAATTTCACAATCATATGAGATATGGGAGTGAGATCTTATTATAAAAAGTTCAGCAAATCTTAGCTTGCTTTGTATATAAATAAGCTAATCAATTCAAACTTGAATCGAGTCATGATTCTAGTATTTTCTTTTATTTTTTTGAGAAAATAATAAATTGAAAATAAATTATTTTCCTATAGGTTAATACTATTGTTGTCAATCATTACAGTTTAATCAAATTTTAGTTTTGACCACTGCAGTTTCAAATCATAATTTTGGTTCACTATAGTTTCATAAGCATTTAATTTGAGTTAATGTAGTTAAGAATAGGGGCTGAAATCAAAATTCATACAGTCCCTATACTTTTAACAAATTATAAATTTTGGTTTTAGACCTTGTGCCCCTTAAATTAAGTTAGAATACTAAAACATAAGAGAAGCATGAGTATTTTACTCAAGAATAAAATAAATTATTCAAACGTGTGTTGAGTTTTGCTGAAATTATATACGCATCTATTCTATTTTGAAAGTTACACATATCAACAAAAGAAATCTTTGTAATTTAGTCTAAAAAAAATTATTATATAAATTGTCCTTAAAGAAAATTAACGGAACTCCTGAAATTAAAAGAGTATATTGACAATTCTATGTGTAATTTCTTTCAATTAGAGGTAGCGACTTAAGGCATTGAAAAAATAGTTGAAAAAATATGTTAGACTGGGAATTTGGAGTTAGTGTTCAAGTTTGGTAGATCAACCGATGTCATCACATGCTGTCGCTGATTACGATTATTGAAAGTTGAATTTTGGTGGCTATAAATTGTGGGGATTAATTATTCAACCATGTCATGAATGCAAGCGGAAAATCATAGGCATAGGTTTTGTGACTCTTCTTCTTTGACCTTTGACTAAGAATAAGTTATAAATAAATATCCGAAACTGAGTTTAATTATTAAGATGGCAGAACAAGCCATATTTTTGTGTGGTTCAAATCCAATTCAAAGGTTTTTAATGTTTTAGACAATTTCTATTTTAATAGATAAAAATTTAAAATAAAGGCATCTTATAGTTAATATTTTCCTTAAAAAAAATAAATTCATCATCACAAAATTTGAAGACTAATTCAAATTAAATTTTGAACAGTTTAAATTTTACCAAAATAATGACCTTTCGGTGCCCATTGTTACGATGAACAATGAATGGAGACTCAATTTTTTTTTTTCTATCTCTTTGTCTATCTGTTTTTTTTTTCTTTTACGTAACAGGAATATGTCATGAGATGTTGAGGTCTCAATAATATGTTATATGTTTCATATTCTGCGTTTTGATTTTTTTTTTAATTTTTTGCTAAATCATAGGTATTCTCCTATTAGAGGCAATCCTATTCGAGACACTGTAGGGCACTAAATGTGGGTACCTCTTTCAGCGGGGATTTAAATCTTAGTTCACCACGTTGTAAGGAACTAACTCCGTTCGAACCTTGAATTTTTTTTTTAAGCCCACTGGATTTGGAAGTTAAATTGTGATGATTGGCCCAACATCTAATTATGGGTTACATTCGATTTCCATTATTTATAATTGGGATTTTGGCAAAAAAATTACGCATAATTGGGCCTCACAATAATTCACCGGGCTTTGCTATTTGGGCTCTAAAAATATCTTATGACTCTGGCTTTATTGGTAAGAAACAAAAAATTGAGATAATTTTTCCAGTTTTTGGATATCATGATTCGATTCGATTCAAAAATTGTTATAGTGACGGGAAAAAAAAGAAAAAGAAATTGCCATAGTTTTCCTGGGTGGATTGACACAAATTAATGGTTAAAAGAACTCAACATAAGAACCTCGTCTCATTCATGGGAAAAGATTCAAATACGACCTTATGTTATTAGCTAGATTATTTATTTATGAATATTAAAAAAATTAATTAAATTAATTATTTGTCATAAATAAATGTTTTTTTCCTAATATACATTAGAATAAAAGCCTTTTAACACGTGTACTTTAGGAAAAAAAAATATAAGAGACAATATACAAGACTAAATTGAATTTTTAAGTAGCTTTTATGCTCGAAACCGGAATTAGTATCTTAAAACCATCTAAAGAAAATAAAATGGTCTTCGCTCCATTCTCATCAGGAGAGCAAATGATGCAGAGAATAGTTTGAGGCGCATTGAATTTACACTATCATCACCTTTTTCGGACAATGATAATTTGAGGATAATGAACAAATGTTGTGATAATTATTGAAAATTTAACAGCACATTGTTAGTAACTCTAACATCCATTGCTACTGGAAAAGACACGAGCGTTGTGCTCAATTCAGAATAACCCTCCCAAAAACATTTTTTTTACCTAATTTTTTGAAATCGCCTGTAAATTTCTCATAATATATTTAAAACTTAAAATATTACCTCCAGTCTTTAATATACGAGCTTGTTTAGCTTCTATTTTGGTCCTCAATATAAGATCACTTTATCTTTTATATTTATCTATTTTTTTAAGATAGTCCTTATAATAATTGTAATTTTAACTAATACAATTGATTAGTAACGATATTTTAAGAAAGATAACAACTATTTATTAAAAATAACTAACTTAAATAATTTTTTCAATCTATTTAAATTAATCAAGCAGTTCTTATATTATAGACCCGAAGTAATAGTTGACAAAAGTTCCTGATGACCAAAAATCATCACATGAAATGAGTAGCAAGCCGCATTATTCATAAACTGAACATTATCCATAAAACAAATGATGTGGCTTATTTTAACCATTATCTAATGCACACAAGAATATGTCTCTCTATAAACTCAGCAAGGGCCTCAGCAATATTTATCAGATCACATTACATGATAATCATCAATATTTCCAGCAAATCAAACATAGTAGTTTCTCTGTTCGACTACCCACCAAGATTTTTCTGGGTAGACTTCTTGAATTTTCTCGAGAAAAAGTCAAGGTATATCCACACTCATTCCTGATGAATAGGAGCAGCAATCAAAAAGAAAGAAAAATAGCGAAACGCAGGCGGCTCAAGGAGGGGCCAAAATGACAACAAAGTTGGCTCCACTTTATTGGAATTTTGTCTCTAGAGCTAAAAGATCCGAGTTCAAATTCCAATCGAAGCCAAAGTTAACCAAAAATACAATGCGACTCACACTGATTAACGATGGGGTAATCAATGTGCCATGCTACTATTTCTGCATTTCTCTTATTATAAAAATTGGAGAAGAAGAATTATTCCTTTGCCGCTGAGATGCAATGAAGGAACTCATCACCTTACCCTACTTATTATTTAAAAGAGCAGGACATGGGATTCGCTTCCCCAAGGAAAAGGAAGGAAACTCAACATGTCTCTGGGTTTGTGTTTGTCACCTCTTTGAGCATGAGAATGACATGGGCAAATGCTTCAGGCTTGAAATGTCAAACAACTCGATGAATCTCTGATCGGAAACTCTCGCTTTGGCAGCTGCAAATCGCTGGTACTCATCAAACACCGATGATAAGCACCATTTTTGCAGCTTTCTCAAGCATCCTACGAGACAACCTGTTCGGTGCTGCACATAGTACGAGCGGAAGCATTTACAGAACAATGTTAGTATGTGGGTTAATGGTAAGTTATCTAGAGATAAAAGGAAGAAAATCCACTGAAAATCCTCACCTTTCCCCGCTTACAGTGAATTAAGACCGGATGGTTTTTGACATCTGCGTTATTGAAGGCCAAAAGTTAATACCAGCTAGCTCAATTAATGAAACTGAGCAATTCCTAGACTTAAGTAGACCAAGCAAATATGAATGGACGTGTAAGCATGATAGATGCGAGTTTCAATGAAAAACGGTTTCTAACATGCTTAGAAGTCCCTTCATATTTGCCTTGCCTAAAGTCTAGCCAAGAATCTTTAAATCAATCTGCATAGTGTGAAAGCAATGGTGATTATTTGTAGTACCAAGGACAACTTTCAGAGCTTCACGGATTGTGTCCTCTGGGATGTTTACAAAAGGCTCCTGGAAGTACAATTTTCAGTATTAGTTCACAAGGCTAGATATTAATTCATGTTAAGATCCTTTTTCAAGTGAGATTTATTGGTAGACAAGTTACGTTTAAGCAATTTCACAACTAACCAATGATATGTAGATTCAATGAATTACTTTTAGGACCTGGAAGAAGCAAATATCAATTAACCACACACTACTCGCTCCAAGCTTAGACAAGGGCAAAGAGGCACTTATGCATTTGAATTCACCTGACGTTCAATATTTATAATGAAGGCATAAGAAACATCTAGATGCATGAGTAGCAAAGAAATTCAAGGAGATTTGTTTTTGACCCAGAGAGACAAGGCAGCTATGATAATTTAGGAAGGGCACCTAATGAAAGAAACAAGTTTTAGTTTTGTCACAACTGTCAAAGGAAGAGCCATCCATCACTAGATGTAAGGGGCCCCAAAAAAAAAAAGTAAATAAATTACAATTTTCGTCTTTAGATGATTGCAAAGTTCACAATTCAGTCCCCCCAAAATGCACACCTATTAATTTTATCCCTCAACAATTTCTCCCCAAACAACTTGGTCCTCAATTTGTTTGACTAACATGAGTTAAACTAATTATTGTTTTAAGCAAATATAATGCTTATTTGGCTGTAAAAGATCGTGCCAGGTATCCAGAGAAACAAAAAACCAAAAAGAAAGAAAGAAAGAAAGAAGAACAACTATAGTCACCAAATTCCTAGAATTTCTGCTACTTTTCTGGATACCAAGGCCACTTAATCACATGATAGCCATATAAACATTCTTCCAGTCAATGTCCACTTCAAAACACATCTAAAAAATGGAAAGCTAAATTAATTAGGCAAACATTAACCCCCCCGGGGGAGGTACGCTGGAATGCCAAATTGAAAATTTTGCAATAATGTATTTGATACAGAAAAATCACAGAAATAGGGACTATTGTCCCTCACTCCTACAAAAATATCTGCAATGCAGGTTAACTAACTATATAACATTTGAGTTCCAACCAATGGAACAAATACTGCCTTCAAAGTGCAGTGAATTCAGTAAATTATGCCATATACCAATCGTTCTTTCTATTTAACTTCTAGCCTTTCCTGCTTTGGCCATGATTTTTGTGTTAATTTCGTTACTCAGATTGTTTGTTCCTTTTTCTCCGTACTCGCATCATCAGATGGAATGTTTGTGCTGATCAGAGAGAATTACTTTTCTACGTATCCATTAATGGACTCATTATACAGAAAGCAAGCATAGTTAAAAAATTGTAACAATTTTAGACTCCCAAGGAAAAGACTTCCACTGCCAGCTTGGATTCCATCAACTGTGATTTTCATATTCTAAAGTTCATATAAATTTGTTGTGCACAAATATCGATGAAGAGTATATACTTCAGATAGACATCTGCTCAATCATACTTGACCTAACCACTGGCAATGATGATGATGCCTAAATAGATGTGATTAGATAATTTGGTGAAAAAGGGGAGAAAGTTTCATCATGACGATAATTTTTAATTAGTTAATAACACGAGACATTACAACAGCAGAACAGTTCAAGCCATGAAAGAGACCCAAAAGAGACCACCCCGAAAAGGAAAACAAAAGACACCTTTAACATGAAAACTGAGAGATATATACCTTGCGACCTTCGATACCGAACTGATAAAGCTTAATCCCATTTGATTTCAGAAACTCCATGTTAGCCTCCGGGTACGGCTCAGGACATAGATATCTGAAAGTTACCCATTCAAACAAATTTAGCCCATCAGCAAAGATTTAAAAACATTAATGGATTCTCCAAAGCTCCAATAGAAAATTCAAGCTCCGCCCACAAACAGCCATAAGACCCAAGTAAACGTAATTCAAATTTGAAAAGAGGAAATCACAGGGAAATATTTATCTTGATCTTCCAAGTCACAATTGACTCCTTTTACCATATTCGCTTGTCTCTTATCTCATTACTATCCAAAATTTAATGTCAATCGTAAACCTCCATCGTCTGAAATTAAATCTGACTGAATCACTTCGATGATCGACAATAAATAACAAATAATGTCTAAATCAGAAACCAAAGGAAAGCGTGCAATTATTATTTTAAATGAAAAATATATATAAAAAAACTGAATCGAAAATCCAATAATTAATAAGGTGTTTGTGCACATACATGATGGAGCGAAGGCCGAGGGTTTGCAGGAAGGAGAAATTGGCGGGCTCAGGGAAGCCGGACCTGAAAATGCCGTTATCCACCATAGCGAAATTGAGAGGCGGGACTAAGAATTCCTCGCCGTCGTCTTCCTTGTGACAGTCGTCGGCGGCGTTGGAGGGGATGGGCGGGGAGAGGTGGTCGGCAACACCCAATTGGATCTTCCTACACATCTTGGCGGTTTCGTTCTGCTTGTTCTGCTTCTGCTGCTGGAGCTGATGATGGTGGGGGTGATGAAGCTGAACCTGGAGTTCCGAAACTTTCATATCAAATCAAAATTCAGCCAACAAGAAAAGAATGGAGATTTGTGGAGGAAGGAACAAGCCAGAGAGACAGAGACTGGAATTAAAGGAAGGAATTCAAAATTATATATATAAAGAAAAAGGGAAGAGAGAGAAGGAAAGAGAGAGAAAAAGATTGGAATCGAAGAGTATATTCGTTTAGCTGCTTTGGGTGTAGTACCCAGAACGCTTTTGAGGAGTTGAAAATTGAAAAAGGGTTGGTTTACTGGAAGAAGAAGAATGTAATTGGAGAGTGAAAGAGAAAAGGGAACAGAAGCGGGTATGCTGTGGTGTGGGCGATGATGGTGGAGACCATTGAAGTGAAAGGGGGGGCTATATATACTGATTTTTGAGAGGGACATTTCATAGAAGGAGGGAGGGGAAGAGCCGGACACCGCATTCGGCTGTGGATTTATTGGGAAGCCAACGAATGGAGTCTTACGACCAAGGAGAAATATTAAAAAAAAAAAAAGCTTCTTATTAAGTTTTCTACTCTTTTATTTTAAATGTAAAATCTATTTTATAATGTAATTTATACTATAAAATATGTCTTATATTTAAAATCGGAATGAGTAACATTTTACAGCCATTTCTTATTTATAAATATGACTTGTAAAAAAATAAGTGGGTAACATGTGAATATAACATTGAGATAGGTGGGCCCCTGCTCGATTTTCTCTTCCCTGCACAATATGCTTTTACCTCTTGGATTTTCTTTTCAAAATTTGTTTCTTATTTATAAAAATGACTTGTAAAAAAATAAGTGGGTAACATGTGAATTTGCTAGCTCAATATATTTAGCCAATTAATAATCAAACTTAATCTAAACCATGGTCGAAATGATAGTGCTATAATTTAAAAACTTTTAGGGTGATGTCAATCTAAAAAAAAAAATTTAAGATACTCAATGCTTATGAGTGAGAATTTTTTAAACAAATCTTAACAAAAAAATTAATGTGGATAACATATGTAGATGTCGGTTGAGCATATTTAGTCAATTAATGATCAAACTTGACATGGATAATGGTCAAGGTGAAATTGCCACAATTAAAAGTTTTTATGACAGGTTGACTGACTAAAAAACTTTTAGATATGTAATACTTTTAAGTGAAAACTTTTGAAACAACTTTACATTTTAATCTTAAATTATATGAAAGTAGTAGGCGTGGTTGATTTTTCACTCAAATATCTTTGGTAGAAAAAAAAAGTAATGGCAACTTTATTTTAAAAAAAACACATATATTCCACACATTTTTATTTATAAATAATCTTATAACTAATTCACACATGAATTTTTAAAAAAATTAGTTAATATTCTCTAAAGTTATCCAATTTTTTTTTTCAAAATTGCAATAAGTTCTTTTTTTTTGAGCTGATGCAATAAGTTCTAATTAATCTTTCTCATATCTCTTAATCCCTCTCTCTACCATCACTGATTAACAATATCCATACAAAGACAAAATTAGAAAAATGCTAATTAGTACTTCATAAATTTTGCAGTATAACTTATAAATACAATCATGAATTTTTTTAAAAAGAAAAGTCATAAAAATCTATTGTAACACATTTTGATTTTTCCAATACTCAATAGCTACAGCTGAGGTTGGATTGAAGACAGGTTGGGATTAATTATAATTTACTCCAACCTAAGACTAAACTCGTTTTTTCTCCAAGAAATTTCCTTTCTCTTTTCCCTAGTGACTCAAAACAAAGTAAATAGGAGAACAAAACATTGAAACGCCATTATTTAGAAAATTACATCTAGTCAATTTTTGGCCACCCTCGTTTTGCTCAAATTCAATTTTGCCCACCTCAATTCCATCCAAAAGTAAATTTGTAAAGTCAAATTTATCCAAACTTTGATTTTGGCCCACGCAAAACTAAACACACCTTAAGATTGAAATGATTTTATTAGGTTGCAATTCTTTTTTCAAAAAAATAATGCAATGACAAAAGCCAAAAAGCAGTTTAGTTAATTAATTTTTTGTAAACATTATTTATATTTATTATTTTACATTTTAGATTTTTTATTTTTAACTTAAAAAGGTTTCTTTCATTTCATTTTGCTAATTTATATGTGATTCTTATGATTAAGATATCTCAAGTTATATAGCATAATATTACCACCAATCCTAATTATAAAATCTCTTTTATAGTCTAAAAATAAGATTTTATAAATAGGATTAGAAATAGTATAAAATTTATAACACATTACACTATTGGTGAATAGTAATAGGTTGTTGTGGTAATAATCTAGCTAAAAATTGCAAAGTAACCTCAATGTTTTCTTTCATTTTAGGCTTTCCTTACATTAGGTTTGGTCAAGCTTCCTTTCCTTTTATTAGGTTGGGTCAAAATAGATCAGTTGGGATGGCCAGCTTCATGTCAGCTCTAACCCACTCAAGAAGTTATATCTTTTTCCAAACTCCAAGTCGCCTAACAGGACCTTGGTCAAAGAAAAAAAAAAGTTGCCTAAGAAGACAATATTTGAAATATTTTTAATATTCTATTTACCAATAATTGGTTGGAATTAGATTTTAAAAACACTATTAGATATTAAATATGAATATTTTTTTAATAAGAATTCAGACTTTAGTTCATCATATTTATTAGATCCAAACTCATTAGTAATTTATGTTACTTTTTTAAAAATCTTTCAATTTATTAAAATGATTTGTTTAAAAAAAATACCTTATCCTACCTATTAGCAAATAAATTTGTTTGACAAACTAAAGTTAACCCCATCTAATCAAACAAGATGTAAATAGTACTCCTTCCTCCTTATTATAAGAAACATTTGATGCTTATGGCATGTTTCCATATATAAGAGACACTTAAAAGTTGTCTCTATTCTTTTGTATTGATTTCTTATTTTACCCTTATTTATTTTGTCTCCAACTCATACTCTCTCTCCCCCTACTTCTCTTTCTTTTAATAATTTAATTGTTCTCTTTCATGCTCTCTCTCCTTATTAATGAGGGTATTGTTAGAAAAAACATTATATTTTTTACATATTAATTATCCTCAACTAATTTTAACTGTTTTTTTATCAATATAATTTAGTTATTTATCTCTTATAATAAGAAACAGAGGGAGTAATAACTTATATTGATTTTAAGTAAGATAATTGAATATTGACCATTAATATTTGAATTGTTTTATTGTGAAAGGTAAAATTTAAAAAGAGGATCTGAGCGAAGCATGGAATGGGTTTTGCCGCCCGATCACAGTACGCAGCGCGTGGAAACAATCATGTCGGTCCTCGTTGTTTTTTTCGTCCCATAGATTCTCCCAGCTGATTTGAATAGACAATTTAAACAAGTTTTTAACTTTTTCCACCATTAAAAAAAAATATATAGATAACATATTATAGTCTGAATTATTCTAACTTTTATCATCATTCAGAACCATATCATATTTTCATGATCTAAGCATATCTAATCATTGGAAGAAAATACCATTTTGTTAAAGAGTGCTTACAATTGTTTTCAAAAATTAAAAAAAAAAAGACAGGAAAAAAAAAAAAAGAAATTTGGGTGTTGGGGCATCCAAGTGGGATTTGGAAACTTGGCTAAGAAGAAGAAGAAATGCCCTTGCTTTAAAAAAAAAACAAAGAAAAAAGAAAAAAAAAGAGTTACATAGCCAGGGTGGTCGGTAGCAAGCCAGAATTTCATGTAGGTAAGTGGTGAAAGTGGCATTTGATATCATGGCCTCTTGAATCCAGAAATTTTTTAGATTATTGAGGCACTAACCATTTGATTAAAATGATATTGAATAATACTCTATGTAAAATAACTATCATGTTTTAACCATTCAATTCATTAGCTATTCACCGTACTTATTTATCAAATTCCACAGTTAAATAGTTTAATTTAAAAGCTACTATTTCAGAATATTTATAACACTTAATTGATTAATTACCATACTTCATTAGCTATTCATTATACCCATTTAATTGTAAGTCCACAACTGTCACATGCATATTGAAAAGATATAATCATATTTTGATTGCATATTTTCCTTTTTTACTTTTTTTTGGGGCCAATTTCCCGTCTTTTTTGTATGATAGATCTAGTAAAAGATCCTCTTTAATTATGTGATATTATTATCAAAATTACTATTCTTTTTTGTTTCACTTTTTCTATTGTGATATAACTTATTGATATATCTTCATTATTTTTTACTTGAACCTTTTTTGGGATTTTGCAATTAGTTCTATTTTAGCCCTTTTAGATTGGTGGGAATGGTTCTCTGAAAAATATAAGAAGATAAGACAAAAAAGAAAGTGGTGCATAGTATCTTCAAGACATTGGTAGCATTTTTCTCTAGGCTTAATTCTTCTCTATCTATTCCTCTCTTATAGGGAGGGTGCATGTTAGGTTGATTGGCGAATTTTTTTCAGAATGTAATAAAAATCTTTGAATATGGATTGCACTCTCAAAATTTAAGCCAAGACAATAGTAGTCTTTATAAAGTGATAATGTGATTTTATCTCTGCGTATGCTCAAAGGAATAAACAATGAATTTGATCTTGGTAAGTTTATGTTCTGTTGTATATAAGTAAAGTAATGGTGATGGGTTTATATAGACCATAAAGTAATGCCTTAAAGAGATTTTTTTTGAATATCTCTTCAATTAAAAGTCACTACCATTTGTTGTTTTATAAACCAACATAATTTAAATAACTAAAGAATATTTAATATCCTTTCCATGTTACACTTTTTTTTTTGGGCGCAAATTCAGAGTATTCTCAAATCACTTGGGATTTGAGACTAATCTCTATCAGGCCTAGAGCGTTAAGGTTAAAATTCTCCCAATAAATACGTTTTCCTGGATTCAAACTTGTGTCTTTTTAATATGTAATGTTATTTTAAGAAAATAACACAATCTTTCACCAAATGGTGGTTACAACACACCTTTTTATATATGCCTTTAAAAATCAACCTTGGCGTCTTATGGTGTTATAACTTCCTACATAACTCTTTATATAAAATATACATAAATTTATAAAAAGACATCACCCCTTATATAAATTTATTAATTTAATAAATTTAAATAAGGATATGATTTTTCAAAAAATACAGCTCTTCATTTTAAAAATACTACAACATTTTCTGCTACCTCTTTGTCATGAATTCTAAATTTTATGCTCTTATTCTTTTATACGAAGTGAGTGGCTTTTGAAATGCTGTGGCGGTTTGTCTCCATTAATCGTTGCAAACTACCCACAACAAATGTGACACCAATTTAGTGGTAATTCCTTTGTCAAAACCGCTACAAAGGTAGTGCCATGTTCGTGCTAATTGTGTAGTGACCGATT